ACAAATAATAGATGTCCAAAAAGCAAAACTAGAGAAAACCCTCAAACAGGAATACCTGTCAACACTGATCACCACAATTGCATTGTCAAGTAGAAAACACATAGAACAAAGACGAAGAGTCCTCAAAACCAAAGTAGATAAGTGTTCTGCAACTGCTCTACAAGTCAACTTACCACTGTGGCAGTGAATGTACACGAGGGACTAAGAAGACACTGTCTACTAGATTTTCTGAGCATTTCCCATAAAGTCTCCCTATGAAAGGAAGCAGAGTCTTCTGAAATGTAATTACCAACACACCTGATTGACACGCGACACACACACACACACAGTGGAAATCAGTCAGACATTCAAAATGATCAATTCACAAAAAAAGAAAACCAGGATTACTCCGGTTTCCAGAAGCCATTGCCATCAAAAGATTTCGCCCCTCCCCCGCCGCTTATGTAGTAAAGGATAGTGTGACTGACTACTCTCTTACCACCCTGGTCACTGTAACTGTTCTGTTCATATTCTTTCTTGTCTGGTTCTCCTGCCTAACATTCCACTTAATTTTGATTTTCGCTTACTGAATTGGACATTTTATTACGTCAACAAATATACGAAATTGTTTGTTTATGTCACAGCTCTTGATGTTTCTGTCATATTATGTATAAATGCAATCTGTTTTTCGATCTTGTATTCTGTCTATCCAGTCAACCTTCCTTTCTAAGTAAAATCTGAACCCGTCTACCCCACTTCACTTGTCTAATTATGCTATAAATAGTCTTTGAACACTGCATAATTCATCCACTTATATAATTTTATTTTGCTCATATTTTGGTCACTGAGAAAAAATATGTTTAGAAGTTATGTAATTTATATATTTAACTATTGTCAGTTGACAAGAATCCAAGAAAAATAAAACGAGCTCTTATTTCCCTGAAGATATGTTCGTTCTCTCTCTTTGTTTAAATTATTAAAAGAGAACAGGTAGTATGAAATAAATTTATATAAGTTGAGACATTTTACTGAATAACCCCCCCCTTAGAAACGGCCATCTGGTGTTAAGATCACACCAGTCTAGCTATCAAGCACCGTTAGTTGATATGAGATCAGCAAAAAAAAAATAAACATTTGATCACAGTAGCACAGGAGTTGTGCAATAAAGACAAAAGGTGGGTAAGATGGTGAGTTGCCATTAAGTTGAGTAACAATATGGTGAATTCAAATCAAATCAAAGAGGACAACAGACAAGCGAAATCACTCTATTATAAACTGAAAGAGGTTAAAGTCAACCAAAAATATTTCGTAGTCAATAGAAGAGAAGATAATGACATACAGTTACCACGGTAATGAAAGACCGATAACTACCTCTTACCCGATAGATAAATCGAGTTTCAGGCACTTGAAAGCGATTACTTCAGCAACTTAAGGAGAATTGCACTATTTAATCTATTTATAATTTTAAAGGATTTCATGACATACTGAATGTATTTTTACATAGTGCATTTTTTTATTTACAGCTTGATTCCACAGTGTATTTTGGTACAGGTATGGAATTTTCAGCATGGATATCGGTAGCCTAAATTTTGTAGGCCGACGGTAGATATCAGGTGTGCGTCAACAGGCGATCGAACCTCGGACCATGTGCATGATCGTTGAGAGTGCGTCCTAACCACTGTGCCACTGACGCACGTTTGCCTCATGACTGTTATCAACGAGATGTCCGACAATGTCACTACTATAAGTGTTTGTCCTCTTGAGATGTAGACTTCTTGTAATATATGTTCAGGAAATTGAAGGTGTGGCCTTCTGCCTCTTCTCCCACTGTAACTGCTACTACAAAAATATGTGAATTTGTCTACACTGAGTTACCCAAGAGAAGGTATCTGACGACCTATAGCATTACAAAACAGCATGTTGCCCAAAAAGCGGGAACTAACTTAGCTGTGGGATAGGTTCGAGCTAGTCAGGTATTTAGTCCTCTGTTGAATCTCTAAGGTCGAGTTGGATTTTGGATAGACGCTCTTACTTTGATTGAAATAGAAACGATTATCCTCTGATTCAGCTTTCGTTTCCTAATAAATCTATCTAAAAACACCTACGCAACCGCTCAATTAGAGTACTGATTCTATAAATTGCTACACTATCATTTTGCATGTCTTGCATCTAATGGGTGGGAATTGAACTAACTACATCGTTACTCATTATCTTGTTCACCGCTTGTCTTTACTAGGTAACTGTTTCGCCACTGTAACCAGGCGTTTATTTTATTGCTTATTCAAACTTAAAGTTCTGGGCATACACTATACATAAGCGTGATTTTTGAACACTATTCATTAAGTTTGGTGTCTTCTGTCAACTGACATTATGCTACACTTGAAAGTATGTTGAAATTGTTCACGTACATAAACTTAATTCATTTCTTAAGGCTGTACACAGCTGATGAGAAGCTGACAAAATACACAGTACCACTATTTTTTTCTTCAAAAACACTTGTTCCTATCTTATTCAAATTTATAACAGGGAAAGAAATGTATGAAACTACTCATCTCTTTCATTTTCAGTAGTATGTACTATCATGCATTGATAGTAATATTAAAGAAAAGCAAGTTAAACAAAACAGAGAGAGACAGAGAGTGAGAGAAAGAAATATTTATGTGATATTAGATAGTTGGAGACGATTGCCAAGAAGCCTTTGACCTAGGTTTCGTGCTAGTTTGCACTTACCAGTCAGTCAGTCAGCAAGGCGTATCTGCAGTCTTGAAAGAACTAATGTGCCTTCTGAGATTCAAACCCGCATCACCCAGTGCCGCCTTCAGTCAGAGACGTTACCACTGAGGTATTTGGGTTCGTGATTGACTTCTGTAGGACTGTTGGACTGGGTATCCGGCAATTTTATCTGTGCTTGCAGCCTCCTTGGAATGTGTTCTGCAGCTCTGAACTGCAGAGATCGATGGTTCCGCCCTACGTGTGTGTGTGTGACCACATATGCATTTAGATCAGTAAACACAGTGTGATGCGAAGCTTCAAAAACTGTCAAACAAAGGATTCAGCAGATCCAATTACCTCCCAAACGAATCTTGTAGCGACAGAAACCAACGTTTCGCCATCTGAACTCAGAAAACCAATCTAGGTGTTCAATGTATAGCTGACCAAAACTTCTTTAAGTTACTGGCATTCACAAAATTTCCAAAACCAACAGCAGAAGGACAATTATGCGGTACTATTCAATAGTAATAACCTATCAAGATCTCAAATGACCTCAGCGGTACCGTCAGCCAAGATTTTTAATCCTTCACGTCCCCAGTTGATTAAAGGAATTCAAGCCAGAACTTGTAGTTTCTGTAGTAGCAGTGTTTATTTTAACAGGATGAGGTCTCTAGCCTCATGCTCAACTTTTCCTCTTTATTAACTTATATTTGTGGCTTAGCAGGATGAAGGAATCCGTCGGTGGTCGGGAATTGAACCCCAGACCTTTATGCATGGTCGGCGAGCGTTCCAACCGCTGTGCTACCAATGCACAAAAATGCTACTTACCTCCGATTATTAACGTAATCATTTACAATTCCAGCGTCAATAAAACAACTAGTGAAGAACAAAATTATTCAACAAAAATCCAGTCGTAATTAGTATCTTAGAATTAAGTAGAATATTTCCAACAAGGTTGATCAAAACTCTGCTCGTCAAGAATGACACACACCAACAATTGCCTCAGATAATCAGTTCAATGTCAAAATGATCTTGATGTGCACTCAAAACAAAATCACATAATTAAGCAACATCAGATTACGAATATTTTGGATGGACACCAGTCAGTAACTGGTGTTAGGTGTGTCTAGTCCACCATGGCACTAGGAGACTCACCCCATCATGGGGCCAATCACAAAATATTTATGTATGTAATTGAATTGAATTTTTGATTTTCCCGTTGATTGATTGGACCGAAGTGCTCGGTCTCAGGTTGACATGTCGGCTTCTTGTGCAGATGCTTCGACGATGTCTGGGCATTTAATTAGTATACAATTGGTGGATGGTGGCCCAAGTGGTCTAGTGGATAACGCTTTGGCGTTTGAAACTATGGGTAATGGGTTCGAGCTTCGGTGGGACCGTCATCACTCACTGAGAAATGCAGGTACATCCAGCTGACGAGTCCCAAATAGGACGAAACGCGCATCCTGGATTCCACTACTAGCCACCATCCACCAATTGTATATGTATGTAATTGTCTATACGCATAAAAAAATTAATGGTCAATTTGAATCAGCCTAGAAACAGAGGGGGTTTACTCATTATTATTATTATTATTATTTTTATTATTATTAATTACAGACTAAAACATTCAGAGTGCATAAGTATCAATGTTAAGCGAAAACAATGTGACAGCGAAGCAACAAAATCAAAGCCTTTTCCATATACGCATTTACAAACTGTTTATTGTTGTGTGTGTGTGTGTGAAGGTGGACTGAAGAATAATTACATGAATTACACAAGCCTTAATTAATAATATTAGCCAATGAAGTCATATAGGGAATGTGTTTCGAACTCTAATATCGTCTTCAGTGTTGAAAACTATTCATGCTTTGTAAGCATAACAACAAAATCACAGGTTATACACAAATAGTATTTAATTATTACTCACTAGTAGTATCTTTCAATTGTGATAAGAATAACAATAATAATAATAATTACTATGTATTGACAGCGTATTTATACAAGCCTTATCATGTATGATATTCAATAGTCTTGACATTATAGGACAAAATACACAATATTAGTGTTTATGATAAATACTTATTATTATTATCATCATCATTATTATTATCTTTGTAAAACGAACAAGCATCGAAAGGAATGTGTAATGCCATAGAGGAGAGATATTACCTAAATTGTGAAATGATGATTAAATCTTCTGGCCTAAAAAAAACAAAACAAAACGAAACAAACTTGTGGACACTGACTGGTACAAATATATCAATAAATCATAGAGGGGGAGAAGACTCCTTCAAGCAACATTTTATTATTCTTTATAGTTAGTTAGTTGGTAGAAGTATAAAATTGTTTCTCATATTTAGAGCAGAACTGTATTCATGATTATACCAAATAAACAATAACGTTAGTTGGTGCGTTCCATTGTCTCATCTACATATAATATACATATGTGCTATATCGTAAATTATTCATCCATATCTTGAGTGTGTACGGGGAGAGGGGGAAACTGTTGCATAGGTGCTTTGACATCAGGGTTACACGCTTAATTCTGTAGAATAAACAATGAAAAAAAATAAAGAAACAAAATGAATAATATTCAAGTATTGGTTTTAAGTGGATTTGGTTGATTTGGTTACAGGATTTCATCATAAATCGACATTAGTTAAAGAACCATTGGAAAACAAGCTGGGAGTACTAGACAGATGTTTTGTCAGCCTGGTTTGAGACGAGATTGATATTTAAGCATCAATGAGATGCTCACTAGCGACTTGCCCACTGGAGTTCCAGTGGGAAGTCGTGACAAGTAGGGTGCAGCAGGTCCGATGTGAGGACAAATACTCGCCGAAGACATTGACTAGCGGTTGCGCTATAGCGTGAATTTGCAGAGGTTACAATTCATGGGCCATTGGTCCCAGTGGCTGAATGGTACACGAGCTAGCTCACCTTGTAACCAGAAGGTCATGGGTTCGAATATCGGTGTGTGTGTGTGTACTGTAAAAAGTCCCAAACTAGGACGAAACAGCTGTCCAGTACTCCCAGCTTGTTTACCAGTGGTTCTCTAAATAATGTCAACTCATAATGAAATCCTGTGACCAAAATGAATAATAATAACCTGTAGTATGATATTTAAGGAAATTGGTTCTGAAATAGTAGAGAAGATTTGCTGCTCAGGTAGATGATTTAGAATTAGTGTTGTGTTCTCTCAAAGCTGGAGAACCATTGCAGGGAATTAAGAAACAAAAGCACATAGAAAATCAATGCATACGGACCAAATACTCAACTATAGTGGTAATGAAACGAATACCCAACAAAAGAAATTGTGTGTTGACATTGTTTAAAAGAGTTCAAACGCACACACACACACACTGTAGAACTACTCCTGTGTTGAAGGCAATAGAGGAAAAATGCCACCTACTAACCATTTTCAAAAAGAATACATATCCCCAAAATGTCATCAAAAGTGTTTAAACTCAAGTCATAACACTAAAAGCAAACCAAAATCAAACATCACAAAAGAATTTATCTTACCGTATAAAAAAATGTGTCTGAAATAACAGCTTGAATATTAAGACCGTGTGAAATAGATGTGGCACGTAAGCCGGCACAATTACTTCATTCCATATTATGCAAACTAAAAGATCCAACAGAAAAAGAAACAAAGTCAATACCATTTACAAAATAAACTATATGAACAACAATAAACTCTACATCAATCGAAGCGGGCGTCCTTTTTTTAAATGCGAATCCAAGAACACGTAGTGGCCGTAAAACTACATGATACATATATATATATATATATATATATATATATATTCTTACATATCAGTGCATGTGGATATTTATGGACAACAATTTGATGAATGGGACAATTTTGGGGATTTTAAATAAAAGAAAACACTAAAACTGCAGTCAAGGAACTCCTAGAAGCAATTAACAAGCACATTAAATTTACAAGCTAAAAAAAGTAAATCATCACATGACATGAAAGTTTGGAGTTCCAAGTCAACAAAAATATGGTTAATAGAGATGTAAAGTAACATCCAATCATGACAATTGTATCCAGTTGGATATACAATTACGTTACAATTACACTACAATACTCTTCAGACCTTTAGGAATTGACGTCGTACACAAACCAACAAAGTCACTTCACTCAATTCTATGTCAACTAAAAGACTCAACAGCGAAAGAAGATAAAAACAACATCATCTACAAAATAAACTGTAACAACTGTGAAAAACACTACATTGGCCAAAGTGGACGTCCCCTTCGTCTCCGTATCCACGAACATAAGCATGCCGTCAAGAGACATGACATCCAGTCCATCACTCATATCACTACATACAGACAACCAGGGAATGAGACAACCAACGTTCAAATATAGTAGACACAGGAAATAACAAGAATGCTAGGGAATTTGTAGAAGGCTTCCTGGTATTCCAGTGAATCGTTCAATCAATAGACACATAGAGATAGACAAAATTTATCAACTGATGCGAAAGAAACCTCACACACATAAATGATCATAGTTCAAGTCAAAGAAACAATCAGTTTCAATACAAGTAGCCACCTAGAAGGTGTGAAAACACATAAAAACGACCAATCACGACGTTGAAGGTCACCACCAGGAGAGATGATTAATAAACTCGTGGAGAAATCTAAAAGCTCACTTCAACGAAGTGAAGAATGTGCTGAAGATGTTGCCTAGTAGGGCGTTGAAAGCTTCCCAAATTAACTATCCAGCTCATAGAACACAAGTAATCAGAATCATTCAGCTGAGCTACAAATCTTCTCCATCATATCTAGACTCTTCTCTGAACTACATATTTTGTCTCCACTAAAGTGAAACTCCGTGGCTAGATATCAAGAGTCCTAGGCTTCTTTACAAATGAAACAGTTAGTACACACCACCACTATAGAGTATCTACCATCTTAGAAGGAAATAATTTGTCATTACTCCTTGAGTTTTACTGATTAATTCTTAGAATTTAACGTTCTGCAAGTGAAATAACGCTCTGATTATGATAGACAAATTTCATCAATAATTTTTTAGATTTGTTTCAACAGTGAAAACACAAATTAAATTTTTTTTTATTTTGTCATGAAAGGGACGTTTACCGTCAATCTAAAGAAGCATTCAGTTAGTCGACATAAATATAATAACCTCTACACTGCATAGAAGTCTATCTATTGAAAAGGATATGATAGGGCATTTTGTTTTTGCACACATTTGCCAATGATTTTTTCTATTTTATAACATCCAAAATATCTTTTTTTCCTATGCTCTCTATCATTGCCTTGTCATAACAGATGGTAGAGATAAGTTAAATATGAACTGAGCAAAACAATAACAAAACAATTATCAGTCACTTGGTAGTTAGAAAATTGTAGTAGACTACTAGCAGTGTGCTATCATAGAGATATTGCTTGTTTTCCTTTGCAGATATGAAGAGGCAGAGAGAGAATTTGAAAACATTTCGCTGACAAACTGCTATATTATTTACTGTTACCCTCAGAGAAGATCATTATCCGGCATTGGTATATATATATATATGTATATATCTTTGTATAGGCTAGTTATCTGAAAAATTAGCATTTATTTGTCATAAATGCTGAATACCTGTCATTTGAGAGATGATAACTATATTGGGATATTCTAATTATCTGAAAGAAAATAGATTATTAAATAACGTAATTGAAGATCATTATGATAAGTGATGTGATTAGCTTTTAACTAATCTTGTCAACTGATAGTGTATATTTTTGTGCAATCATGCCTACTGTCTTCACCCCACATTGAAAATTGAATGGCCAGAAAGAATGAATAACAAGAAATTGTAGGAGCCAATCACTTCAGCAGGAGGTTGGAGTAAACACAGGAGTCAGAAAAGGCTGTCTGCCTATTATCACCAATGATATTCCTAATTATGATGGAATGATCGGATTATGCGTCAGACAATGAGTGGAATGTTTTGGATGATTTATGTTTGAAATCACACAAAATCGGAGACTTACAAGTGAATACCGACCGACAAACTGGTCGAAAAAGCGGCTGGCGAAGACAGGACTCCAAGTGAACCTAGACAAGACGGGGGTTATGAAAATTACAAACCAACCAACCAACAACAACAACACCATCATCCAGCGCCAATCACTATCAACGGGAGGGATTTGAAAGAGGTTACTTCATTCACTTATCTAGGGAGCATTGTCTCAACTACAGGAGGAGCGGAGGAGGATGTCAAATCGAGCGAGAATCGGGAAGGCGAGAAACACATTCATCCACCTGAAACCAATCTGGAAATCTTCGTCATTCAGCATCAACAACAAACTTCAGTCGGAACTTCAATACAAATGTCAAGTCAGTTAGTTCTTCTATACGGATGACAGACTTGACGGGCGGGTTACAAAGAATATTTCAAACAGGCTATTGGAGACCAGACCTTTATCAACAACAACTGTCTTCGCTGGATCTATACTGAAGATCAGATGGCCGGTTCGTGAAGAATCACCAACAAGAAACTATGGGCACTAGCAAACAAAACAAGAACCAACCAATCGCTCAACAAATATTCAGGAGGAAGTGGATGGAGATGAATTGGACACTCGCTGAGGAGGCCGCTGGGTGACCTCGCGGGCATTTCCGGCCAATGCTCGAGTGGAACCTGACAGAAAGAGAAGCGGTGAGTGGGACGTCAGGGCGAGGGTGACATGGAGGAGACTGTGCTAAGAGGAGTTGAAACAGTGTGGACTAGGATGGATGCGGTTGAAAAGTACAGCAGAAGACAGAAGTGGCAAGTGGATACTTGCAGTTGGAGCCCTATTTTCCACTAGGATCCTAAGGGAACAATAATAATAATAATCATTTCAGAACTCCTTGCTCATCAAATATGTAGAAGAAAATGGTGATAGTTTGGATACAGGCTTAGGATATGGCTGAATGACATACAACTCACAGTAGGCATTACCTTGAATGGAACCTAAATAGGACATTACGAGTTGAATGAACATGTGTCTCAGAGTACCACGAAGTATATCATTTGAGGAGGAAGGCAATCATGGTACCGACTTAAGGAAACTTAAGAAAACACTGACAAAGTCGACGTGTACTGTTGAGGCCTAATGGTGCATCCGAAACTCAAAGGAATTCTACTACTGCCTACTAATTACCTACTTCTTCTACTACCTACCTGAATAGGTAAGTGGTTACCTGGGGTTCTAATGAAAAGTCTTGACCAGTAGGGTGCAGTAGGTCGGATGTGAAGACAAATACTCACCAGCGAAGACATTGGCTAAGGGGCGCCCCATGTCGTGAATTGGCAGAAGTTAGAATTCATGGACTAGCCATTGGATTGGGTCTCAGTGGCTTAACAGTACACAAGGTCCAGTGTTCGAACCCTGGTAGTGGGTGTATACCTCTGAAAAGTTGCAAACTAGGACGAAACGGCTGTTCAGTACTCCTAGGTTTTCTAGTGGTTCTCTAACTGATGTCAGCTCATGATGAAATCCTAAAACCAAGCCTAGTTTACTAATCAACCAATTTGTCAGCTGACTTGAAGACCGGAAAAAGAGGGAAAGTCGGGTGTGGAGCTAGTGACCTTATGCCGAAAAATCAATCCAACCACTACAGAAATTTCGAAGCACACAAAACATACATAGAAAATCTTCTCCTTCTTTGAATTTAGAAAAAGAGAGATTACGCAGGCTAGTGAAAACCTTCATGAAGCCAATAGTCTTCCGTTATGTCTCCTTACGACGGAAAAAATAAAAAGATAAGCGTGGGAACATGGAATATCTGCATGATGTTCGAAGTTGACTTGGAAGACTAATGAGAGCGTAAAGGAAAATAGGACTGCAGAAAATAAAATGAAATAGGGATGTGCTATTGAAGAGATATATATTTCACTTGGAAACTAAGGGCATAATAATAATAACAAAGGTTATTTAAGGAAGTTTTAATGAATTCTAATTATTAATTAAGAGATGAATTGAGGATCATACAAATACTCCCTTTGACAACAGTTTCTGTTCGCAGTTACCTTGAATAAACTGGACATAGTAAAAGGTCTTGCCAGAACGCAGATACATATATATATATATACCTTATCTAATTAAGATTTTCCCGTCGATTGATTGGACTGAAGTGTTCGGTCTAACGAGGTTGACATGTCTGCTTCTTGTGCAGGTGCTTCGACGATGTCTAGTCATTTTACTTCAAGTCAATAGGTAGATGGAGACTAGCAATGGAATCCAAGATGCGAATCCAGCATCCGACATGTCAATGTAAGATCGAGCATTTTGATCCAATCAATCGACTGGACAGTCTACTGAATTAAATCAATAATAAGACGCATTATACAAGAGTTGGCTCTCATGAACCAAGCGGTCTAGTGGATAACGCCTTGGCGTTTGAAACTATGGGCATTGGGTTTGAGCCTCGGTGAGAACATCATCACTTACTGGGGAATGTAGGTACATCCAGATGACCAGGAGTCCCAAATAGGACGCGCATCCTGGATTCCACTGCTTGAATTTTCAGTAGCATTGGTGTTCGTTTTTTTTGGTACAAGTATGGAATTTTCAGCATGGATATCGGTACCCAAAATTTTGCAGGCCGACCATTGATATCAGGAAGGGGTTGCTGGCCTCATGCCCAACCTTCTCTCTTTTTTACCAGTCTTATTACTCGCTTAGCGAGGTAAAAGAGAGCCTCGGTGGCCGGTGATCGGACCCCAGACCTCATGAGGCGTGGTTGGCGAGCATTGTACCGCTGTGTCACCAACTCACCAACTGGCAGTATAAAGTTATAAGCAGGTGTGCTATCCTTTTTGATTATCAACTTACAATATCAAGCAGATCCCATCAACTATGATTAGAATAACTTGGTTTCCTAAGGAAACCACTGTGGAATTACACCACTTGAGAAGTGTCGATTTTAATTTGCCAACCGATTTGCAAATTATTAATTTGATTTAAGCAATTAAAAACTGAGCAAGAGGTGATAATTATAACAAGACAAGATTGCTAAATTTATACTGAATTATATAAATAAAGGTGACATGTGAGACAATACCGGAAATCGTTCAAGTGAAATAAATAATTAAAACAATGGACATAATGCGTTGGTGGCACAGCGGTAGAGTGCTCGCCGACCACTCAGGTGGTGTAAGGTCCAATCCCCGGCCACCAACGCATTCCTTTACCTAGCTAAGCTAGTAATAAGACTGATAAGGAGGGAAGGTTAGGCATGAGGCTAGCAACTCCATCCCGTGAAAATGAACACCAACTGCTACCGAAACTTCAAGCCTGTAGGTCAAAGCCGTATATTCCACTGGAACGTAAGGAATAAAAGAAATGGACATAATAGGGGAAGGATACGCAAAGTAAATAAACACTATGAAAAATTAATAGGGAAAAATATGATTGAGGATTGTAGCAGTGTAGGATATACGGGTTTTGACGATTAAAGCAGGAAAGGTTGAACAAACCTTTTCTGTGTACAAGATCTAGTTATTCTATTTCGACGGCCAAAGACTCAGAACTACAGACGAATCGAATTCGGTAGGTTATTTTTTCTCTTACTGATTTAAAGAAATAGCCTGCTGAAATAAAGGAACAGGTATCAACTAAGTGTTCAAATGCGCTTCTTACAACCTCATGTCCATCTGCCTGTGACCACTCAAGAAAATGTTTTGCTCCCTCTTGGAAAATATCCAAGTTGAACGACCGATATACCTTGCTCCACACCAGCATAGAGTTAGTCGACTGATGGATCTCGTTTTTCAGGTTATTGAACGCTAATGGTTGGCTAGAAGATGCTATTGTGCCAATAGCATAGTGGTTAGGACGCTCACTGACCATGCACATGGTCCGAAGTACGATGGCCGGACACCGACACACCCCTTTACTTTACTAAACCAGTAAATAAACACTGCTGCCAAAACGTCAAGTCTCTAGCTTGGAGCCCTATGTTATACTTGAAACGTGAAGGAATAGAATAAAAGAAGACGCTATTTTCAGCTATGCTGCAATGCATTTCCTTTTAAGGGACTATGCGATCCTTCTTTTAATGATGTCGGCAACTAAGTCGCTTTCGACTTCTAGGTTAACATACAGCATTTACTGAGCATCGACTATATGCGATGTGGTGGAAATCCATTAGAATACCTTTCCTAAGATTTACCCCTTTCTCCACAATATCAGGACTACATCTGCACCGAATGTGAGCAGCGATTGGTGGAATCAGATGTCTTTTTCAACCGATGAGTACCCAACTGTGGAAATTATTAGTCAGTTGGACATTCCATGATAGTTTTCTATAAACTGATCTATTCAGGGTTCCGTCCGTCCTCTTTAACAAGTTTACATTGGAGAAAACAAGTATTAGACTCATTCTTCTTTTCGAGTATGCATTTCATCGTTGAATGGCAGCCATAAGATGCATTTAATGATAATAATAATAATTTTTGCTTTATTCCAAAAACAGTACTAATGATACAGCAAGGAACTTTCAGCATTTAATACAATATTGCATCTAATTTACTCAAAACGACAAATAAAATAAACATATAATGATAAAAACAAAACGTTGTGTATTACCAGCTGTGTAGGAAATTACAGTATGCAATGAGAAGGAAAATATGCATAGAGTATAGTAATAACAACTGAAATAAAATCGTTATAATTATGCGATAGAAGAAAAGGGTGACACCATAAAATTACAGAAAGATGAACGATGAAAAGGGTCGATTCACTTTGCTAATTACATAGTAACTTATATGTTTCACGTCTAGCAGTGTCTTCATCACATAAATACGGTATTGTAGAATTTTTGTGCTTAGTGGTGTGAGCATATAACTACTTATATTGACTTCTCATCCTACCTGATGAGAAACAAGGGGATAGTTGTGAATGAAGGCTGTGCAGGGGGTCTGACAGTACGGCCTTTGCCCATTTTGTACAAGAATTTATGTGTTTCTCGACTATAATATTGATGAGCTCACGCAGTGGCATATCACAAGCCTTAATCACAGCATTCAATACCCTTCGTAATATGATATAGTCTTTGTTGAGAAGCCTAGGAAAGATTAATGGAGAACAATAGACTACAATAAGTAAAATACACGAGTTTAAAAACTGCAGAGGAGTAAAGGTTGGTTGATACCTGATTGTCTTAACTTTTTGGTGTAGGAGGTAAGATGAAACGTTTTCTTAGAGATTGATAAGATTATTATTAGTCAAATCATAATAGTTATAATTAATTTCCCTATGAATGATTTCCAGTATTATCTCATTTGCCGCCATTGCTTATTTAATTCAGAATAATTTATTCAGTGGTGTCTAATTATAATTATCATCTTGCTGCAAAATATTTCAGTTGCTTGCTGTTCTTATTATTTCTACTACTCTTTGAGATTTGTACATTTCATGAATTATGTTATAAATGCTCACAAACAATTACTTTTTGTCAAAACTTACATTACTGCTACAAAACCTCATATACATATATATATATATAAAACCATTGAAAGGGGCTTTCTACTGAACCTCTTCTTTTGAATGTATATATATGCATATATATTATTCAAATAAGAACTTTACTTACACAAAACTCTAAACCTTTACCGTATTTGAATGAATTTCCGTATTAGTATTCACTTGACATTCAAGCATGATAAATTTCTTCTGTTCACAAACACCTGGGCTGATCACTGTCGACGAAATAATTTCTTCATTAGTTATAGGGACTTGACTAGAATTTTCTTCATCGCTTGCACCACGACCACTATCGGACCGTTGTTCTTCCCCATTGACTATTGGAGGAGGAGGACTTGACGCGTCAGTAACCTCGCTCCTCAAGTGATTTGTTTGATTCAATACTTTCATATCAATAAAACTATTGGTACTTAAGTCGAAGACTACTGATGCGTTAGTCAAAAGATTTGAAGACAGTAGAAATGATCCATCTTGGTGTTGATAACAGGTTGGAAGGTTTGTTGTTTCTTGACACTGAAGTGTAAACGGATCAGATTTTATAGAGGGATTATTGGAAGTTACTAGTATTGGCATTGCAAAGGTTGACTGTGATGCTTGGAATGATTGGTTGAAAGTATCCAGCTGGTGTGGTGAACAAGCTGAACATCTAGAGGGTATGGCATGGGGGAATGCGTTCAATACTGTGGATGGATAGTCATTACATGGGTATTCTAAGTACACTGCATTGCAATTTTGTTGAGAAGTCTAGAAAATAACAATAAAGAAGAAAATAAGAATTTTGTTTTTGCTTATAATAATGTCACACTGGTAATTTTGTATAATTTTTAAGGCGGGTTTGCTGAAAACACTACCAGTTATGTCTAGTTGAATACCGTTGAATTTTACTCAACATAACTCACTCCGGTAAAAGAAAGAAACGCCTCCTAAAAGGAATGAAATAGAGTGCTTGAAAATTTATTATTTATTAATATGTCATTAGTGCGAGAGCGTCACAAAAAGAATTTCCAGAACGGGTCACATGCTTTTATTAACAACTGCCTACTTTGCTGACAGCATACTGAAGATCAAATGGTTAGCTAGCCAGCCAACCAGCCGGCTAGAAAGAATTAACGACAGCAAACTCTGGCTGGGAGCAAACCAACGAAAAGTCGATTCCCTCAACAAAGGCATATGTAGGAGAAAATGGAGATGGATTGATCGGGCATATATTGAGGAGACCAACGAATAACATCTCGCGCAAAATACAGACCACCGCACAATAAGGACGCCGAACAGGAAGCGACGAGTTGGTTATCTAAAGAAGACTTGAGAGTGATGAGCGGTTATGGACAGTGGTAGACGCAGAGATGGAGATGAGAGAGCTTAAGATGTAAACGACAGTTAAAAGAAGTCATCGATTCTCATGACACTTGTAAAATTGACGACAATGATATAGGAATCAAATCAGAAATTAAGTATCTTGGACTCATTCTCTCTTCTGATCTCTCTTGGTCTTCCCATGTCTTAACGATCTCCAGTAAAATATTCCGCCTGACATTTTACATTAAGAAGTTAAGACACTCAGGTATAACTCAACCCTTCCTCTTACAGTTAGTTCATAAACTCTTGCATCCTACCTATTCTTCTTTATTGCTCACCCTTATTCTTTCCTGGTTTGCTTAAAAAAGACTATGTCACAATTCGTAGAATACTGAAGACTGTCAGTAGAGTGAGTGGTGTCCCAGTGGACCACATAGTTAACGTCGTTGTCGATAGGCACTTGACTTCGTGCAAAAAATTTGCTAGAGGGATTTTGTCTCACTTGGAGCATCCGCTTTACCTTCAGCTTTCACCTTGCATCTCCTCAGGTAGAACATGAAGTAACTTCAGAAAACTGTTTGCTCGCACGTCTAAGTATAAGAAGTCTATGATACCATACTTGGCATGTATTTTATGTGATGACAATAGTGTCACGCAAGAATTAACTAACCTTCTTTCATCTAGTAAATAAACAATTTCCTCCATCCATCCTTACATACCTTCAAGTTTTACTTTTATTACTTCTATTATATTTATGGTCCTGTTACTTCTTTGTTTTACTCTCATAATTGCAAACACCAACTTATCTCCATGACGGCTGTAATCTATGTTTTTTCCTTCACCATATCATGTAGAAAGAACATTATATTCAATATTTTTAAACATGTTAGGATTTCTATACCACACTGACAATACTGCGTGGCACAAGCCAACGGCAATTTTCACATGTATTCTTATTATTATTACCCTAGCTGTTATCATTATTATTGCTATTTCCATTTTATATACTGCATGTTTTTGACACTACTTCTATTGTAAATGTGGAAAATTTTCTGTGATAAATTTTATTTATAATTTGAGGAAATTAGATGGAATATTGTGATTAATGTTGAAAATTCCATTCTGTATCACAAGTACTGTTTTTGGAATAAAGTAAATTATTATTATTATTATTAAAATAGAAGAAAGTGGAGATGTGTGTTGTTGAAGACCTTTGTTCCACTTTGAACCCTGGGAAACAATAATAATAATCATAGGCTGTTAAGTGAAGAAGTTTCAAAACACCCCATCTGGTTATATTGGTGCTGTAATCTCCTGAATCTATGGTAATGGCATTGTGTTATTCCTATTGTGCAGGTTAGGTGTGGGTTAGATTGAATAATCAACCTCTCCCTATACCTGTCTGTATTACTTTGCTAGGACTTCAGCTATCTCATACCCTGTCATGTGATTGTGTCAATGAATGCATCGTGGTTTACAAGGTTAACTCTAAGGTATTCATCTCCATGGAGTAGGTGATTCTAAATTTAGTTATATTTCTTTGTTCTTATAACCGAAATCATCGCGGATCTAGTGATATAACCCACGCGGTTAACTTCATATTCATTTTTTTCCTTCACGTTCCCAGTGGAACATAGGTCATCAAGCTAGTGGCTTGAAGTTTATGTAGCAGTGTTTATTTTCCAGGATATGGTTGCTAGCCCCATGCCCAAACTTTCCTCTTTACCGGCATTACTTATGACTTAGCGAGGTAAAGGAGTGTGTCGGTGGCCGGGGATTGAACCCCGGACCATGTGCATTGTCGGCGAGCGTCCTAACCGCTATGCCACCGACGCACTCATATTCATAGCAAGCTATTTTTATTCATTGCATTATTTTGTTAAATTGGGTCAGAAGAGTCTTTAGACCTACAGAATTTGACCCTGAGAGACTTTGTAGGCCACCCAATTGTCACCGCAATTCCCGCTTTGGTAAAAATTCTAGTCAGTTGTTCACATATCCTTTCGTTAAATGGTAAAACCGTGGATGCCTCAAAAAGTCGTCTTTATTTATGTTGTTGTCGTCAACATTTCCACAGCTGTTTTAATTTTTCTTGTGAGCTTCTGTGATCTTCTTCTTAATGAAATTTATGGGGTAGTTCTCTAGCCACAATGCTTCTTCTGTGTGTTTCATTTCATTATTTAGGCTTTCCGGTGTACTACTTGAAGTTATTGTTTGTTCTGATTTCGGTGGTATAGCGGTTAGCACGCTCGCCAACCATGCATATGGTCCGGGGTTCGAGCCCCGGTCGGCGCACTCTTTAACCTCACTGAGCCAGATATAATGCTGGTAAAAAGGAAAGGTTGGGCATGAGGCTAGCAACTTCATCCTGTAAAATAAACACGTCAGATTTTGCGAACATGTACCAAGGAACCTCCGGTTAAAGGGACTGAATTGTTTAAGCTCTTCAATCGACAAACACCTGATTGACACAGGACACCGAGTAGATGTGCTGGAATCATTCAAAATAATTAACAGATAAAGTACCTCCGGTCTTCTCAGGTTTGCTGAAGTCAAAGCAATAAAACGATTGAATCCTGACTTATGTGTCCAAAACGAATCTGTTGTTGGACTACAATTACCCTGGTAACTCACTTCCTAGTAACTCTTTGTTTTCTAACCTTGTTAATCTTTCCACTCCACCCCGTCTCTTTATTTTTCGCTTGACTGTCTTATGAGATAATATTCTTGATCTTCTGAGCTCTGCCCACCGTATTTCATCATCAACTTCTCATCTGACCTTATGTGCACTGAAATTTTAAAATTTTGATCTTCTCTTAAGTAATTACGTAACTGTTTCTGGATTTCGTTTTTTATCACCCCAACAACATGACGGTATATAATTTTTTTAAGAAAATTCTCTCTACCAAGATATATATATATATGTATGTCGTAACACTTTAGACACCCTGTAAATCTCAACGCCTTATTTTACCATGACGCTCTGACAGTATGTTTGCTAATGGACAAAGGTTGTCCGCAGTTGATGAGAACCAACGAAATAAAATGGATCCAGATTATTCTTCGCCAATGTTTCTTCTTTCTTTGTTCAAAATTAATTACTAAGTATAGCTGTCATTGGCTGTGCTTAATGACAGATGCATAATGTTATGATCAGATTTAGGATTGCTACAGTGGTAAAGCTAGGCCTAAGGGATTGCTTAATTATGGGAGCACAAGAAGACGTAATGCACAGCCTATTACATATCCTTAACATTCCAAAGTCGACTAACTGAATGTTTTTTTCTTTCACGTTCCTCAGTAGAACATAGGGCTTCAATCTAGTGGCTTGAAGTTTATGTAGCAGTGTTTATTTTCCAGGATATGGTCGCTAGCCTCATGCCAACCTTTCCTCTTTACCAGCATTATTTCTGGCTTAGCGAGGTAAAGGAGTGCTTCGGTGGCCGGGATCGAACTTCTTACCATGTGTATGATCAGCGAGCGTCCTAACCACTATGCCACCGACGCATATAAACTAACTGTTGGACTTAGTAACTCTATGCTACGAAAAGTCTTTTTTTCTCGTAAAATTAATGAAATATCTGTCTCATGATAAACATGCCGCATAAAACTGAGCACCTACAACTAACTGTTCAATAAGGCAAAAATTTACATGAAAACAATCATTTTATACGCATGAATTTTATTCCTTACCACATTTTGAATTGAATCAACCGGCGTTATCACTCTTCCCACACATACAGCTCTTGTCCCGTTAATCATACATAACTCTTGTTCCATGCTACTTAAACCACTTGTGCATGATGATGACATATTGAATGTTGTCGGTGAGTTATTCCTATTTTGAATGATAGTACCGGTGAAACAATTGTCAATTCCAACTAATTTATATGGTTCTAAGCTGTAATTAGGATTTGCATAAGGCTTATTAGTGATTAGTAATCCTTTTTCATTCTGGAGGTGAGCTTGATGACGAGTTAGAGTAGAGGATAAAGGATCGAATTCACTTGAACGATTTCGATGGTGTTCATAGTTTTTATTATTACCATTCTCACGAGTAACTGAGTGCAATTTAGTGCTACTCTGATTGAAAGTTTTAGTATTCAACCTTTTTGCGTAATGTTTACATCTATCACGTGATTTGCCTTTTTTCGTTTCTTTCAAGTGAAACGACGACTTTGATTTCAAGCAAGGCTTAACAATGCACAGAATTGTGCTGATTATTACAACAGCTAAACACACTGATAATCCAGACAAGATTATCACAATAAGGATGGTACGTGCTTCTGAAATTTTAAACTTTGACTTGTATAACTTTGAACCATGCATTGTTGTTATTCCTGGAGGTAATAGTAGTTGATTTCCTTGAGCTGGAATCTCCTCTATACTTAGTTGAATAACCTTGAGAAATCAATATGAAAGATAAAAAAGAGATTTATTCGATATGAATTTAAAGACATAACATAACAATTACAAGTGAATAGATTTCATAAAGACTGTCAAACTATTGATTAATAACTTTGGTTAGAGAAGAAATGTTCATAATTTGCCTGAGATGCAAAATAATTGAGCCCGGAGAGAAAACAATCTATTATTTGACATAAGGCTAAATTATGCAGTCATAATAATTAAACTAATTGACGTTACAAGCACAGTTTATGCATCATTGTCATATCATATATTCACACAACTTCATCACTTGCCTGAAATATCCTAACTCTATATAACTTCGTCGAAAAGAAAATTTTCTTCGCTGCAATTGTCTTTTTAATAACTCCTATGACCCAATGTGTATATTCCGTGAACTCTATATATCTTATTACGTGGGAGGATAAAGGTTGTCAGCAACGTAAGCAACGTGCCACTTAACCAGCTTATTAATATTCTGGTTGACAGGTACTTGGACTCATGTGAAAAGTAGGCTCAATCCATTCTATCTAACTCACACCACCCTCTTCATTCACAACTCTTCCCTTGTATCTCATAACGCAGTACCAGAAGCCTATATAGAAAACTATACGCTCACACTAGCAAGTTCAAAAACCCAATCATACCCTACCTAGCCCATGTTCTGTGCGATAAAGAAAGCATTAGGCATGAAACTTATAACTTATTAAATAGTCAGTAGAAAAATTGAATCTCGTCTTTTCAACTCATATCATTTTTAGGTACAAAGTTTTCTTTCTTCTTTCTTTTCCTATTCTCTTTTTTCTGTTATGTGCCGTTTTTTTCTCACTTCCTTACAAACTCTATTTAAAACATTCTTCTTCGTTCTTTCACACTCTATATATCTCGACCTTTTATTACCGCTTACGCCAGGAAATATGCTAGCATCTACTTTTCTAACACCTTCAGACACTCTGTTTAATTTTAGCTTTGTTACCGACATGCTAATATTTTGTTGTCAAAAGTAACTGAGATTAACCTTAATCTATGTAGAATTTTATTTATCGTTAATGTACCAACTGGATGCAATGCTGTGAGTTCCATTCTGTATCACAAATACTTTTCTGGAATAAAGCAAATTAGTATTATTATATCTCTTCACTGTTTAACTGCGATTTTTAGTATATACGGTACAGAAATTGCGTCACCTCCACTGCATGTATTTGCTTTTAATCGACATACAATCATTTGGCGATTTACGTCTCTCTCTCTGTCTGTTTGTTTTCAGCATCGAACTTTGCATCGATGTGCAGCAGTTCAAGTCACCACACCCCATTCAACACAAACGGCCAGAGAAGAAAGTAGAAGAAATGCATAATTGGGACAGTAGACAGGGATGTGAGACAATAGGAGTTGTAATAACGAAGGAGAAAAAATGTTTCATTGGAAATCGTAAGTCACAAGGAGTGGATGCATCTGCGCTAGCCATTGAGAACAATTTTGAGCCATATCACCAATTGTCTCCAGCCATTGGTTTTCACCTTCCCAAGGACTTCAACCAGTCAGGTACTCTACACCTTCCTACGTGGCTTAAACTAACTGGTGTGGATTTCATTGCCAGATGGGGCCATGTTTTGGTTTGACCACTACCACTGGCTGTTTTCCAGCCTGACCTTATGTCAGCTACCATTGTCTGACATAGGGTCAGGTTGGAAAACTTCTTTCTGTACCTAACGCCATTGCACTTTGATACTTTTTAGCTATCTCACCCTGTTGTTTGAATACATGCAAGTGTATGAATAGGAGTGACTGACCCCTTTGACGGATTATTTGTTCGGATCAGTCATTCTAGTACTAGTTTAATTCCTATGATCCGGTAATCTGTTCGACCCTATCTTTCTACTAGTTTGATCCATATGGTTGACTTCACAATCACTTCATAGAATTTCGTTGATTACAATAATTTTCTTGATTAAATGTTTTCAAGAATTTATTTTGTCAGGATTCTATTTGTATCAAGTTAGACCATGGACTGATTTCAGCCTGGGAGAAACATTGAATAACATGGATTACTGGGCAGCTGCTGTTTCATCCTATTTTTGGAGCCATCAACAGTCCGCACTCACTGGGTTTCGAACCCAGAACCTTCAGGTTACAAGGCAGGCTTGTATACCATTCAGCCACTAGGGCCTGATTCAATGGCACATGAATTCTTACTTCTTTAAATTCTTGATTTTATCACGATCACTAACCAATGTCATCGGTGGGAACTCTATTCTCACACTTGACTGGATGAATTTCACCGGTCACGAATTCTCTGGGAATCCTCATCCTGTAGCCAGTCATTAGCGGACCGGTGATGAGTCCCAAACTAGGACAAAACAGCTCTCCAGTACTCCCTGGTCTTCAATGGATCTCTCAGTGGTATTAGGTCTGTCGGATCCTATAGAGTTTGTCTCCGGTGAATTGGGTGGATTAAGTACCGTCCTAATTCCAGACTCATAGGGAATCCTACACAGAGTCTTAGATGTTATTTGATTTTATGTTAGTACTGCAGGGGCTTTGAATAATTATAATTTGCATTGCTTTCACTGTCCCCTTATTTGTGTTTTGGTTCTCCAAACATTTCTGAATACATTCTGGTGATAACGGCTCAACGCTGTTTCTTCGATTTATTCAGCTGCATTATTTAATCTCCTGACTTAGCAGTTGATTCCTGGCTCAATTACATAAACATTTAACTAAACTCAAAATTTAAAAGAAAAGGTGTTAAAAGAAGAGTTACTCTTTTCATCGATATCAGTCTCAGGCTCTACTGTCACACATACATAGTAAATTTACCCGTTTACCCCACGTTTTTATAAAAGAATACAAAGATTCCCTCATAGCTCTATCCTGGAACACCTAATCGACTCGAGGAACACAGAGAACTCACAAACAACTTCACAGTTATCTATGAGGCCCTTGAAAATCCTGCCAAATGCAATATGAATCAAGCTTCTTAAAACCCTTGACGCTTAAGCAATCCATATGCTAAATCCTGAACTCTGCATATAATAGAAGTTTGTCAGTCGCTGAATTTACAATGGACCTAATTTGTTTTAACACTGGATACGTGACTATGTAAGTCTAGTTTTCTTTTCGGTTTTTAAATAATATTATTTTTCTTACCCTTCCCCACTCCCTATCGCATTTCTACTTTTTTATGACAGTGATCTTAAATCTCAATTTTAGTTTAAGAGTTTTGTTCAACCACGTCAACAGCATTGCATCATACAAATTACTTAACTTTATTATAGTTTCTAACAGATTAGTGCTTTTTGTATTACAAAACTGTCACTTAAAACGTTCAGTTCTAATGGCATGTCTTTGGAAACGTTTCTCATGTTACCAAGAAAAATTACTACTTATATGCAGAATGATATCGTGGAAAAGAGTAAGTCTTCGCAATATTTTAATGTTTCGACCATTCTTCATCATCTTTTACAGTTTTACTTAGATGCCGCCTACCTTCACCGCACGACTTTATATCTTCCTCGTAGCTGTCGTTGAGACATCTGATCCCGTTTCCCTTTGGTTGTTATTTTATTTGGCAGTATTGTAACCTCAACGACTCAACCTGTAGACCAGAATTGCTCAATATATATATTTATTTTATGAATTTGAGCTAACTGCTTTAGTGGATGAGGCACGGAGAGTACTGGGTGAAGTGCTTTCAAACAATCTAATTAGAGGCGTTATCATATCCAGTTTTGCAGTTTTAATAGTAACATCAAACTCAAGTCAAGGAGGCCAGATTTTCCATTTGAAAAAACTCCGTTTTTCAACAAAATAAGCACACTTCAGGTTTAGGACAATCGTCATCACGTCTCTATTTTCAAAGCTATGGAGAAACGTATCCCGCTTGTTCTTAAACCGTCTTCTAAATCTTCTGAATGAACTAAAGCAGTTCGTTTACAAGTGCAGTAGAAGCACATTAGAAGCTGTTGTTTTACTCTACCACAATATTGTTTCAAAATCGTGAAAAAGTCGCAAAATTTATTTGAGCCTCCTTTTAAGACAACAATGATGTTTTCGACTTTACTCCTGGGACACTTTTACTAGAGCAGGCTGATTTCAGTAAACACTGAGTCCCGGGTAACAAGGTGGCTGTTTTCTTATTTTTCTGTCAGGAAACAGCATACTTTTTTGAATGGAAAGCGCTCCACTTCAGTGATAATGGGAACTCGTGTGCTTCAAGGAGCTCCCTAAGCACACAAGGAAGATTTTGAATAATACTGGTTTCACTGGAGTGTAAAATTTCACAATTTCCACCCTATCATAAAATAAAAAATATTTTTTGAGGAGAAACTGTTTGCTATAACTCAATCTTAAACTATGTAATGAAATATATGATTTATCTGAGCGACAAAGAAAAACATCTGAACTATTCGTTATTTGTTTTCCGGCTAAATGTCACACATAACGGATTGCACAGTTGTAAATCGCCTACAATAGTTGAATTTCAGCTACAGAATCTCAATTGCTCATGTGACGATGTTTAATCTTGTCAATCTTACAAAAAAAAGCCAATTCCTCACCGTTGACGCCTTGATGAAATCCCTGAGGCGTCTGAATTCCCATCCATTGCAGTGCATCAAATTTCCTCATCCAGTTGTGTCTTTGAGTCGCGAAGACTACTTACAAATATTTCTAGTTCCCTTTTGAAAGTATCTCTGCGTATTTCTTAGAGACGAAAGAAATCTGTCGTAAGGGATCGGTCTATAGAGGCTAATAGGTGGATGGTCACTAACAGTGAAATGCACGATAACACGCATTTCGTTCTATTTGAGACTCGTCATCTGAATGGACGGAACTACATTCCCCAGTGACTGATGATGTTCCCACCAAGGCTTGAAACCAGTGCCCATAGTTTCAAACGTCAAAGCGTTATCCACTAGACCACTTAAGCCATTAGAGTTAGCCACCTCTTGTGCAATGGGTCATATTAATTATTTATTTGAATTTTAGATTTTCCCGCTGATTGATTTGACTGAATTGCTTGGTCTGAGGAGGTTGACATGTCGGCTTCTTGTGCAATTAAATTTGATGAAATGCGCGTTATCCTGGATCATAATGCTAGTTAGCATCCAACAATTAACTTCTAATGACATGCCCAGACATCGTCGATGCATCTGCACAAGAAGCCTGAAAGACATGTCAACCTCCTTAGACCGAGCACTTCGTTGCAATCAATCGACGGGAAAATCTAAAATTCAATTATAAGATCGGTTTATACTTCATATCGATGAACACTGGGTGACATGATATGTTTTTTTAATATCACTATATCCGAATATTACTAATACATTCATACAGAACCACATACCGCTAAATTCCATGAACAATTAGACATACGTTTAGATGCCTACCACATTTTTGTCTTTCATATTTGTGTATAAATGTCTCCAGTTAACTTTAATTCCCTAAAGGTTCACTTGACATGTGTAATTTTATAAAGGTTGAAAACTATCAGAAAACAATCATCCAATGCCTGCATATATTTTGCTTACCTTCTCTGCTCTCTGTACTGGTTTTCCATTGTCCTCCACACTTAGTATTATTTCATAAGTACCTATTTCATACCAGCGTAAATATCTAGTCAGTGTAAGTTGTCCATCTTTAGGATTCATTGTAAATGCATTCAGTATTTGGCGGGCTTTTGTAGTTTCTTCCGCCTGACTTGTATTTGAATTATACTGTTGAATGCTGTATCGTAGTTGTGCATTTATACCTTCATCATTGTCAACTGCTTTAGCTATCAGTACACAATAACCTGGTGCTTCATTCACTGATAAATGAACAACAGAATTTTGTAAAGCATCTGATTGTATGAAGCTTTGATTAAATAAATCAGGTTGAATAATTGAAGACGATGTTGAGTAGGATAAATTATTCGCGGTTGATTCTTTAGTAATTATAGCTGAAAATTAACGAGACAGATAGAGAAGCACAGTGATATCGACCGACATTGAGTGAAATAATATAATGAATGACACACATTAGTAGATTCGTCTGTTTCCGCAGTAAATGTCTGGGGGAGGGTTTAGAGACCGAAGTATTGAAATTGAACTTGGGGAAAATACCTCATACTCCATAGTATCCTCTCATTAAATAACAGTCGAAGATTGTAAAACGGTGTATTGTAGGAAGCCTAGAAACACAATTTTACATAGCGAAACTCAAAGATGTGTCTGATGCAGTTAAAAAAGATATTGTAAGGCGGTGGAAAGAACAATGAAGACAAACTTTTGTCACGGTTTGAATATTTCTTAAACTGTATTTCACATTCAAAAGGATAAGTGAAGCATGAACAACTAAGCTACCTTAGCTGGTGGACTCTTCTCAGTTCCCGTTTAGCTTATAAAATCATCTTTTATTTGACGTCAACCCAAAATATACAACATACGTTTATAAATGCTGACAGAAACATATCACCATCACTGCTATTATTCGTGCCATGGGTCGAGATTTCAGCATCAGGGCTCAGCTGCACACCTGTCTTCTATTACTTTCCCTTATGTGTCAAGTCTGCAATGTGCAGAAGAATTTACACAACACTGGTGTTAAAAAGTGATATCTTTTTATCTATGCTAAGTGAAGCAGATTTCCACAGTGATTTCACATAAACAGAGGCCTGTCTTGCTACTCCGATCCTGACTAGCTGGCTTTGACGCTTTCACCTGTGTCACCTGTAGTTGGAATGATGCTGCCTAGACAGCTAAAAAAGTGACCTCCATCAGGCTAATCCTTTTGATGGTCGAGGTATATCTTCAGCACCTCTTTTCTCCCTGCGTTCATTTGAAGTCCAGTCTTCGTTACCTCTTGTATCAAGATGTTGGTTATTGCCTGTAAATCTTCAAGTATGTATGACATTAGACATAAATTATCCTCCCAGATCTGTTACTGCCTTTCTGTTGGCCCGCTGTTGCATGTCGATCATATCATTTCTCAAGGTCTTTCACATGATTTAGTCTACTTTAGCCAGAAATATTACCGAATATGTTAGGTGGCTGCTTCCTCTGTCTTCACTTCAGAGACTTCTCTCAGGTTTCTGTCGTGCATCATATAACACAGGGCATCATCATACAGCTAGCTGTTGAATGAGGTTTCTCAATATTTCCTACATTTTATTCCGTATTGTCAAAGTCCGTCTCAAATTACTTCCTCAGAAATTCAAAGAAACGCTTATACATAAAAAATCTTCAGTTGCTAAATATATATTGGTTGCTTGACGCGTAACCTGTCCAAAAAGGGTTCAAGAACACTATCTCAAAGGGTTGTAGAAATGTAGTAGTGGCTCTATAAGTGGTGAGATAATAGAAAATTTTTGTCAATACTGGTCATTCCATCTCAACAAGTATCTCCTTCATAGTAAACAAAAAAGTGAAGAGAAAACCAGCCAAAGACAATACGTCCCCATCTCCTTTGAACCGTGCTGAAGCTCAGGACACTAAGACATAGTAAAAAGAGAGTTGTTCAAACACCTCTACTACCTTGATGACAACCTTATCGATGCAGTCCTATCTAACCTGAAGAGTAAATCAGTGTACTACAAAATCTTTCCTTGTTCTCCTTGGTGAAATTTACGGCATTTAGTTGAGTGGCAATATGAAAAAAGTTCGGGAGTATATTCTTTGAAACAAGTAGACAACCCAGGAACTAAGGATAACTCATGTAATGGAATAAGCTGCCATCTAGGATAATTCTTTTTCTCAAGTTAAGTAGGAACTTTCAGGTCAGAAGTTTGTAGACCTTTTAAATACTCGCTAGAGTAAACAGTACTATTGTATAGAAAAAATGCCTATTTACATATTTAGGAAACAGAAAGATTAAGTGAGGAAATATTTACTTTTCAAATAGATCCTCATCTCACTCTGGCTCTACTCTAAAATATTGTGTATAGCATTTTTATTACAATACACAACAATCTACTAGTCAAGTGTCGGTTTGTAGGGACTTGATTGATTGGTTACAGCTTTTCATCATGAACTGACATTGGTTAGAGAACATTAGGAAAGCCTGATCTTCGCCGAAGACATTGGCTAGCGGTTGCACTATGTCGTGAACTGGCAGAAATTAGCATTCATGGACTGGCCATTGGATCTTGTCCTAGTGGATTAATGTTCGACGACGTCGCCTTGTAATCAGAAGCTCTTGGATCCGAATCCCAGTGGATGCGTACTGCTGAAGAGACTCAATCTAGGCCAACGAAAAGCTGTCCACTACTCTCAGCTGGTTTTCCAATGGTTTGGGTGTACAACTTGGCAGGTTCATCATCGTATTTCCGAACATCGTCCAGCATGGTTAAGCAAGGGACAAACAAAATATATTCGTAGTTCTATTTTAGCACACCTTGTAGATTGTGAGCATAAGGTTGACGTTAATACAGCATTTAAAATTACTTATCGCATTCTGACTAATCCTATTTTTCTCCACAAGTTCGTGTTCTACAGACAGCTGAAGCAATAGGAATCCACCTGAAGAAGTCATATCTGTGTGTTCAGAAAAAAATTTGTACAGCCACTTTCTTTGCTTTCACCATCGTTACATGAATGCATGAACCGGACTACTTTTTACCCCTCCTATACCTTTAAAAATTATAATTGTCCGAAGTATTTTATTTTTTCAGCTACTTCATCTTTAATTTTGTGTTATCCTTGTAAAATTAATTTATTCTAACCATTTCTACTTTTGAACTGTGTGTATCAATTTCCTTCGTTAATAATCATCAGCGCCTTGACTAATTATTGTTAACAAACAGATCAGTACTAGCCACCTGATTGGTAAACTGTTGTGTTGTATTGTAATAAAAATGCTATACATAATATATTAGAGTAGAGCCACAGTGAGATTAGGATCGAATTGAAAAGTAAAATTTTCTTCGCTCGCTAAATCTTTCTGTTTTTTTAATGTCCAAATGTGGATTTTTTCTAATACATTCATTCAATTTCTCTTATTCACTGACTAAAATAACAGCTTTGATTATGACAACTCATCCATTTTGTTGCTAACTACTTACATGAAGAAAAAACTGTGCAAAAATAAGGAATGTACAGCTTAGTGAACAAATTTGCCAAAAAGTACCTCTTCAATGAATGGACTGTTTTGTTCTGATTAATGTTTGGATGAGGTTTATTTACGAATGAGAAAGTATAATCATATTCACCAGTAAAAGTCTTCGTTCTACCGCGTCATAACGCATTATATTACCTGTCATCTTTACCTTTCCCTGTAGATTTAATTGGAAGCTAACGCCAATCAGTTTAAATCTCTTCACTAATGCAATATTTTAAGTTACCTCGGGAAATTTTAAATAAGTATGACGTATATTTTGATATATTATCAAATAAATTATGTTTTACAAGTTATAATCAGTTGAAGGAAGCTCAAATATAATAGATAGATTTTCCAAATAGATTTTCCAGTAATATTGTGTCTACCGTTTGGAAGGATATTAAAGTTGTGCGTATACACAATTCATCTACTGGAGTATGTGTTAAATTTAGACCCATTGCGGTTACCTCTCCTTTTTTGAAAACTGTGGAGAAATTACTTTTACTTATTCCTGTACCTTTGCTTCAACCCGTTAATGACCCTAAACAATTCGCCTATAAGCACAGTAGAAGCACTTTAGATACAGCTGCCGTCTTATATTATAACATTGCTTCCAGTCTAGACAAGGGGGCTAAATTTGTTCGTTGTGTCATCCTAGACTATACATCTGCTTTTGACTCCGTTCTTAGGGACATCTTATTAAATAAACTTGCTGTATGTCAAACAGAATAATGGGCTGTTAACTGGTTACATTCCTATTTCTCAGAAAGAAAGCAGTACACCGTGTATAAAGGGAAGTCCTCCACTTCATTGCCTACTGAAGCTGGTGTCCCTCAAGGTGCTGTTCTTTCTCCTTTTCTTTTTTCTTTCTTCTTGCACGACTTGCCTCACTCTGAAGAAATAAACTTTGTGAAGTATGCTGATGATTTAACGGTTTCAATGGCTGTTAACTCCCAGCTAGATTGTACCAAAATAAATAGCTTTCTATCGGGAGTCAGCAAATGGTCTAAGTCTAACGGTCTTAAATTGAATCCTTCTCAGTGTCAAACTGTTAATTTCAGCTTAAGATGTAAAAGACAGTTAAAAGAAGTCGTCAATTCTCATGACAGTTGTAAGATTGACGACAATGATATAGGAATCAAATCAGAAATTTAGTATCTTGGACTTATTCTCTCTTTTGATCTCTCCTGGACCTCCCATGTCTCAGTGATCTCCAGTAAAATATTCCGCCTGACATTTTAAATTAAGACGTTAAGACACTCGGGTATAACTCAACCCCTCCTCTTACAGTTAGTTCATAAACTCTTGCATCCTACCTATTCTTCTTTATTGCTCACCCTTATTCTTTCCTGGTTTGCTTAAAATGGACTATGTCACATTTCGTAGAATGCTGAAGACGGTCAGTCAGTAGGGTGAGTGGTGTCCCAGTGGACCACATAGTTAACGTCGTTGTCGATAGGCACTTGACTTCGTGCAATAAATTTGCTAAAGAGATTTTGTCTGACTTGGAGCATCCACTTTACCCTCCCTCAGCTTTCACCTTGCAACTCCTTCTCAGGTAGAACAAGAAGTAACTTAAGAAAACTGTATGCTCGCACGTCTAAGTATAAGAAGTCTATGATACCATACTTGGCACGTATTTTAGGTGATGAAAATAGTGTCAGGCAAGAATTAACTAACCTTCTTTCATCTAGTAAATAAACAATTTCCTCCGTCCATCCTTACATACCTTCACGTTTTACTTTTATTATATTTATGGTCCTGTTACTTCTCTGTTTTACTCTCATAATTGCGAACACCAACTTATCTCCTTGACGGCTGTAATCTTTGTTTTTCCCCTCACCATATCATATAAAGAGAACATTA